CCATACAGTGTATAATTAGAGTTTTAAAGACCCTATTAACTATGCTTAGGCGTGGAGGAAAGTTCTTGAGAAGAATTAATAACTTCAGGTCTTATTGATCTAGTTGTTATAATGGGAAGAATGTTCATTTGTGGCAAAATTTATGTATTAATACTTGTTCATGATTTTGGCTTTGGTTTGAATGCTATAATAAGTGTTAAATTAATGCTAAAGCAGTGACATAGGCTTTGTTTAATTGTAATGACAATAGCTAACCTCTAAAAGAAATATTTTCTTTCTTCTTTCTTGAGATTAGTTTCATGTGCTATTTTATATGGATTTTAGGAGTATAATGGTTGTGTTCATGGACATCAAGGATCCTCTCCGGTTGATGTTATAATCTAGGTTGTTTACTTCAAATCAATTTATTTTTGTATTTTAAAAGTATTTTTTAAAACATTAAAAATTTTATATCTTTTTATTTACTTTTACTTCAAATTAATTTTTGTTTGTGTTTTCAAATCGTTTTGATATATGTTCATATACTAATGTCAAAAATAAATTTTTAAAAATAAAAAATTATTATTTTAATATATTTCTAAATAAAAAATACTTTCAAACATCCATAAATTTGTTATACAAAAATTCTTCAAAAAGCTTTTATTAATATTTAAGCTTGATTTGACTAAAACTCTTTTTAACCGGCCATGAAAAAATATTAATTTAATATTTTTTTATCAATTATCTCCTACTATTTTGGTTTTTTAATGAATGACAAGCTTTCATTTTTCATTGTTTTTTTTTAAATCAATTCTGCAAAACGCTTAATTATGAAGTGGCTGATGTGCATCCGAAAATTATTATAGTGAGGAGATGAGGTTTCCAAACCTTGATGGTGAGAAAGGTTAGGTTATTGTCATATCCTTGCAAGTATCTGTAACAGTAAAAATAAACATAAATATCAGCCACGGCGAAAGAGTATTAGACACACACACACACACTGAAGGTGAGGTTACACACACACACACACGAAAGGTTAGGGTCACACACGAAAGGTTAGTTTTTTTTTTTTTTTCGTGTCCTTGCACAGATAAAAGATGTTTACAAGGTGAGAAAAATGAATAGAGTGATCAGTCTTAAGACAAAATCAATCCTTTGCAACTTGTTTTGTCCGGAAAAATACTGCATCTAGTAGTGAAGTACTTAAGATGCACAAGATTTTGCTTACAGTAGAAGAGTGATAGTAATTATTTTTTTTTATTTTTTTAGAAATATATTAAATGAATATATTTCTAATTTTTTAAAATTATTTTTTATATTAACTCTGAAAATATTTAAAAACATTAATCTAAAAAATAAATAAAATTGAATTTTTTTTAAAAAATACTTTTAAAATATAAAAACAAACAAAATTAATTAATATAAATTTGATAACAATTTTACCCGGCAACTTGCTCGTTAGAGATCCAAGACCTCCATTCATCTATTATCTTGTATCCAAGTGACCTTGTCCACGCTTGCGTACCAGTGAATGGCACACACATATCATGGTCTCCACTGTATGTAAAGTAAATAAAAATTAGATTTTCACAAACTAAGAACAATAATTAATTACCTCTCTTTCTTTCCCGAAATTGTGGAAACAAAAGGAGGAGAACAGAAGGATTTCTATGAGCAAAAATAAGAACAGCATCCAATGTTTATTGAGAATTGGAGAACTCCCTCTAACTTAGAAGACTTTTGTATATGTAAAAGAAAGCACTTTAGATCCTTGATCCTTGATATATATGAAACAATATTCTACTAAATTAAACGCTATCTTGATTCAAAAACTTAGATTATTATATTAAGTTTTAAAAATCGATTTTATCAAAGAAGCAGTACATTACCTGTAAATAAGGGCTCGATATCCTTGGGCGGTAAGGTTTTTATGGTATGGAAGCATGTTTCCGGCGCTGTATCCATAATCTATTCGGTCGGAGCATATTTGCCAAGGTCCGGCGATGGATTTCTATCATTTGAGACAAGAAGAACATTAAACAAAAGAAAGCTAACTCAAATCTAGATGGCAGGATCTCAAAACAAGATCGTGAATTTGGAGAACTTACTGGCTCGGCATGAATTGCTTTCCTAACAGATTCGTCATTTAGCCATGTAGTTGCGACTTCGTCATTCTGTTTTACAGCAAACAATTGGTAAGAACAAATAGGATCGCAATATAGATCAGTTTCCAGGGCTTATTAAAAAGGGTTTTGAGTGGCTTACAACACATGGGACACTTCCTTGCAAGGCAAGTTCCGACCACGATGGGAAACTACCGTCCTTTTCAAACGCCCAAAGCGGCCATGCACGGCCAAACATTCTCTTCCTCACCTTGAGAGGCCTGTCAGTTGCCCCTAATTGCTGGAAGCTAATCGGCAAATTTGAGCTTGTGTTTCCTTTTGCTTGCTGATCGGACGCTGGATCGTGGTAACAAGGCTCAAGGATGTCATAAATGTTTAGCCCCGAGAGAGCCTGAGAAGAAACCAAGGGCACCAAAATTTGATTAACTTGCTCGAGATACTGAAATCACAGCTATGCAAAGGGTAAGAGAACATCATCTTACTTGGTCAATTTTATCAATACTAATATAGCAACTATCACTAGCATTTTGATAATTTCCTTTGCAAGCACGTTCAACTTCCTGCAAGAGTTTCCATGATCGGCTGCATTAATTAAGAGTGATTTGGGAAAGGTAAACATAATTTAAAATTTTCTTTGTATAATTGAAACTATGAGATTTCAATTCTCTAATGTCCCGAAGGAAGGATATATGACACATCATGTAATACAATATAACTAGTTACTTAACTCTTGCTTTACCGTAAACCACACATTTTTTTCCAAAAATAATTAGATACACAAGTTTTTTCAAGGTGTTTTTTAACATAAAAAAAAACTAAATTTAAATAGAAAATTTTATGCAAGCATTTTATTAAATAAAGCGATCAGTATATATATAAATAAATAAATAAATAAAAAATATTAATAAAAAAAAATTTGAGAAAATTAAGAAATAATTATAAATCAAGATATTTATTCTATACAAGTACTTAATTAACTAAATCGATAAGTATCTATGTAAATAAATAATCATTAACAATAATAAAAAGTAATACTGAAAAAAATTGAAAGATAATTGTAAACCAAGATATTTGGTTTGCAACATAGAACATTTACCTACATGTGTTCATTGAATTTATTTATTAAAATAATTTTTTTATTAAATTAAATGATAATAGAAACAGACATACACATGAAAATAATTAAATAAAATAAAGAGAAAACTTATCATATAAAGTTGCATATATTAGAAATATCATCTAAAAATAAATAATTTATATATTTAAAAATAAAATTCATCCATATAAAAAAATAAATAATTATAGATGAATCAGAATAATATTCTTAAAAATATACACACAATTTTTTTTTAAAAATAACTATATTAAAAAAATCCTACAAAACTCATGGTCTAGATCATGAGGTTGTGGTAAATTAATAGAAGAAATTGAAAATAATTAAAAAAAGCAATTTAAAAATAATAATAATGTCAAACAATAAAATAAAAAATAAAAAAACATATATAAACTTGCATTAACTTTTCAAACTTATTATTTTTATCATATTAGAAGCATAATAAATAAATAAAATTATAAAATTTAATTTTTTTTAAAATAAAATAAAATAAAAACAATTTATAACCAAAAGAGGGAAAAGTGTAATTTGAATGTTTTAACATTCAAATGAGTAGTCTATTTCATTAGTGTATGCACAGTAGTATTTTTGCAACTCTCTTTGTCGTTCTTGTTAATACTGACAGGTGAGGAAAAAATTAAAATGAAAAGTGATTTTCGTACCTCGAAAATGTCGTCCGAGACAAGGCCCATCCCATGTGTAAAAGGGACAAGAGCACTCAACCCCTCAAATTGGCTGCGGGACACTCCATTTCCTATCAGGTAGCCCTGCATAAAGAATTACACCTGCGATTAGCAGTCTCTCACCATTTATTTTTCCCCTTTTACTTCAATCGGCCCAGCTTGTCGCCGTCGGCATTTTCTTATTACCTTGAAGTTGATAACAGGATCTTGACCGGCCTGTATTCCTGCAAAGCAAAGCGAAGATGCCCTCTTTTTAGAAAAAAATAGCAACCATATTACCCCTTTTTATTTGTTTTTTTATATAGTTTTGATATATCAATATAAAAATAAAATATTTAATATATTTTTAATAAAAAAATATCCTTTAACACAATATCAATTGACAATGCTACAAACGATCGAGACACCTTTCACCACTTCGGCAGAAAGTGTAGGCACGTAAATCCCAGCATAGGACTCTCCCGAGATGTAAAATTGATTGTTGACGAACTCTGGATATAGCCGAAACCACTATATTGCAAAACAAACAAATCTTAGAGCTGAAATAATTAATTAAAAAAAAAACCTTTTTTTTCAGAATTTCATACGTATTTATAAACTAGTTTTAGTACATTAATCCTAAATCCACCTCTATAATACATATAATTAACTTAGCTGGTCTTGCGGATGTCGATGAACTTAAATTACCTGGAGGAGAAAATTATGGGTATCGGCAGCCGTTTGCAGGTCATCGTTTATATATTTGCTTTGGTTTTTGGAGTAAGACATGCCAACCCCGCAAGGAGAGTCCAAATAAATGATGTTTGAAACCTATTTAAAATAATGATAATAATATAAAGTTAAAGAGAGAATATAATTGAACTACAATTAAGAAGAAAAAATTGAAAAACAAATCAAAAGAATTCAATAGAACTATTAAAGTTATGACCTTGGACCAGCTGTACGGGTTGAGATGCAATATTGGGAGGCTTCCTTTAGGTTTCCCTTCTTCAAAATTGAATGGCCCTGCAAGTATTCCAATGGAAAGGAACCAAGAAAAGAAAATTTAATACTGGTTAATGCATAAACTAATTTGAGGTTACTCTTAAATATTGAATCAAGAAAAGAAAATGGGGATTATATATTTGTTTGTATGCAATTCTATATTATATAATTGAAGTTTTACCCATGACAAATCATAGAGCAAAAGGAAAAAAAAAGTTAAATATTAAAATTTTCGTTATATTATTTTTTTTTTTTTTTGATTGGTATAGTTATTCGGACTAACTTGACACCACGACTAATTTCATAGGTCCTAAAATTAACGATTATCTAAACTTATAATTATTTTAAAATTTATGGAACTTGAACTATAACCTTTATATAGAACAAACTTAAAGTCTAATAATTGAGTTATACCCTTCAAGATTGAATTATTCTATTTTTACACCATATAATAGTTTAGTTAATTAATTACTTTCAATATATTATGTTATTGACTAAATAAATACACAGACACCACTAAATTTTGTTTAACATCATTTCTATTAATTATAGACCATGACACGTCCAAATCATTTGTTTTTTTTAAATCATATTTTGCATGTATTTTCATCAACGTAACCTAGAAATGAAATAAAAAGGAATTAATTTTGAAGAACCATAGAAAAAAAAAAGGGAGATGGCATAAAAAGGAATATATCTCTAACCACTTTCCTTGGCTCTCCCAAAGTGGCAAAAAATCATCTTCGCTGCCCATGGTGAAAACATCCTTTCCCTCCTCTATTTCTCCTTGACTCGTGACCTCTTCATTCTTTGTGTGTGTTTACTTCTTATATGATCTAGTACTTTCGTGCTCTTGCTTTTAGGCTTATTTGATGTGCTCTTAGAATATTGTTGCGGTGGTGTTTAGATCAGACATTTAATCCTAGATTGTCCATTCCATGAATGAGATGGACAACGAAAGCAGATGTCAAAGCAAAGTCGTCGTCTTCTTTTTCCCTTGAAAGAGCTTGTCTTCTTCTTTCTTACACAGTACCTACTTTTTTCTCTAAATTATTTGAAATAATTTGTAGCTTTTATCAGCATCAATATATGGAAGCATGTATTTGATTTGTGCGTGCGCTGTGTGCGGTGTGTGTACCCACACACACACGGGGGGCAAGCACTCGTTCTTCGCTGAAACCACAGCAGAAAGGCCAAAGCGTTGGGCCATCGTCTTTGTTTTTGATATCGTCATCACAAAACAGGATTGTAATGAATCCTTGGCCTAAATAGTTATTTTGTAGAGCAATTACATGCGCCACTGAGAATGGTTCTCAGTGGTGCATGGTGTTGATAGCCATTTAGGCAACTTGTGGTTCGAGTCTCTGAGAGAGAAAAGGCTTAAAAAAGCCAATTCGGTGTGAACTGATCAGTCTTTGGTCCTAATCCGTCGTTATCAACGAGGAAAGAGTTTCTTGTCATAAAGTCCAGATTAATACGAGT